TCCGGTGCCCCCCCCAGGATGACTACCTCAGCCTGCCCACCTGGACCCCCATCCCAGCAGGCTCAGGACAGGCTCCAGCCACTGCCACCCGTGCACCAGTCCTGTCCTCAATAAAGGTGCTGTGCTATGGCAGAGGGGATACCCCCTTATCAACCCCACCATCCCCTGCTCCTTCCCCTGTGCTTGTCCCTGCTTGGACCACAACGCCGGTCCCTGGCCAGGAACAACCCTGGTCTAGGCGATGTCCCCCTGGCCAGGCAGTGTCCCCCACCACCACCCAGGGCCACTAGCCCCCTGGCTGGCTGCCTGTGGCTGGTGCCAGGCGGCTCCAGCTCGCCGCTGGAGTCCCCAGCTGGCCAGGGTACCCTGGCCTTGACCTGCCTGACCCCATGCACACAAAGGGACTGGGCCAGCTCTGTAGCAGTGTGGGCCACCAGCCAGCCCGCCAGCCACCGCGGCTGTAGCCGCCATGCCGGGCTTTCCCAGGCTGCCCTGGCAGCTTCCCAGCCCTGGGAGCTGGGATGGGGCCACTCTGCCCCTTAAAGCCCTTGCTCCTGGGCACAGGGCGGGGACACAGGGGACACCATGCCCTTGCTCTCTGTGTTTCTTTCCTCCCGTGGTTTCTAGCAGAATTTTTTTAAAGGAAATAAATGGGAATATTCACCACCGACCCACGCTCTGTAAAGCCCAGCCCCTGGCAACACAGCTACTGGGCAGTGCCACGTCTGTCCTTGCACACCCCTGGCTGTCCCCACCTTGCTGGCAGACACTGGGATGGGGGGGCTGCCAGCACCCGCCTTGGCCCTGCACAGCCAGGACAGGCTGGGTTGTACCCACACGTGATGGTACCCACACGTGGAGGAGCTGCTGGGGACAGTGGTGACGCACTGGGGTGGCCTGAGGCCAGGGGCCGTGGCGCGGTGCGTGCCGGCAGAGGCTCGCTCCGCTGTGGTTCAAGGGATGCCGGACGGTGGGGAAGATGCTTTCCGCATGAGAGCAGCTTCATGCCCTGAAATTTCCACTGGCTGAGCCACGAGTGGCCGGGGGAGGCGGGCAAGACCAGGGTGCGCGGCGGGCAC